CCTCGAGCTCCCGCTCGTCGTCGGGCTCCTCGGCCTCCAACGCCGCCTGCAGCCGTTCAGCTAGGTCGGCCTTAAGGCCGCGAGTGTCCAGGCCGCGGCGCTGCAGTTCCTCGCGAAGTTCGTTCACCTTCAGACGGCGCACATCCATGGCCCGGGCCCCCGGGGTGGCCCCCGAGCCTGGCCCGGCCTCCCAGGGCTCTGTCCCCCTTAAACCTTTCCTGTCAGGAGGCGAAGGGGGGAAGGGGGGGGCCCACTCCAATGGCGGCTGTGGCTCAAAATGGCCGCCGCCTCTTCCTCACCCGTGGCCCCGTGCGATGCAACACTGGTGCTGATTGGCCAATACACCGGGGCAACGGGCGCGGGCCTCGATATCTAGCCAATCAGAGCGTGGCTTTCAAAAAGCTCAATGAAAGGGCCCAAGAGCTGCCGGGGAGGAAGCGTTGGTCTACGTCGATGCCGCGACTGAAACGGAGGGCGGGAAAAGGCAGGAGGCGGTGCGCACGCTGATTGGGTACAGTCCGCGCGCCCGTTCGCGTAAGGTCAAATGAGGGAAAGGGAGTAAAGACTTGCATCAATCAACGATGAGATCTCAGAATGAGCGTCCCACGGTCTTTCCTGTGCAGTCCTTTCATTGAGCTAGTGTTTTCGTAACATACGCTTTGATTGGTCTAAATCTCCCGCCCCTTGAGAAGACCCAGCGGGTAAAAACACTAGAACCAATCAGAGGGCTACTAGATGTCCCTCCTTCCTCTGTAGCCTTCAGGAAACCGGAACGAGATTAAATAACGAAGGGCCCACCCCTTGCCGTTAGGGCGGTTTCAAAACAATCTGTCGACCAATCGCAGTTACTGTTTTATCTCACTAAAGCCAGTAATGAATATATGGATCTTTTTAAAAACAGCTAACCAGATTGGTCAGTTTTCAAAGGACGACTTCAAGAGTGTTGCTGTTCGAGGGAGGTGTACACAAAAGAGATTAAACCGATAAATTATTCTTAATCTGGTATAAATTTAGTTGTCTTTATGAAAAGTAACATGTTGACCTCAGAGATTCCTGAAGGTTTGAGGCTGGACTAACGGGATACAGTCGTAAAGAAAATCACACCCCCTTTCCTTTGATAGTACAGCTCATTGGGTGCCTCTTTCTTCCACGGCTCCGCGGCCCTCTTCTCTATGGTTGATACTTTACGTGGAGTGGGCGCTCTGCACGCGACCATAGAGCTTTCCTCTCCGAAGAAAGCTCCTGAAGTTCTCGGCTTTTACCCCCAATCCTCTAGAGACAATTCTGTTTATCTGGCTGTTTGGTGACTATTATAGTGACATGATCAAACACATAGATCCTCCACAATTAAGCCTCACATTAGTAAACATGGTCCGAGTTTCACAACATCCACTCCGGTGCACCACCTGTCGCCTCTAACTTAAAACGGACACAAAACGTCCATAAAATACACAATCGAGATACACAGTGCAACCGCCCAGTGCTCACTGAGGCACACCTTAAGTCCACAAAAGCAGCACACACCCTCAACTTTGACAATAGGCGACAAAGAGAAATGAGTTACATCAACATGCATCAATTCAGGGGTAATACACCAAACTGCAACGTCGCTGTCAGCACAAGCAGGCGGCATCAAAGGATAAAGACAGACAAGTATAGGGCAGTTACATTACAAAGTTCCAATAAGCTAGACACACAGCACCCACTCAGAAACGGGGCAGACACTCACGTGGGCCCGGAGGTTCCAGTCCAGACACCCCGCCCCTCGCCCACGTCCGACTTCCTCTCTCCTCCCCGCTTCTCACAACGATTTGTTCTAAAAGTTTGTGGCCCGGATTGAACTGTTTTCACTTCACAGGAGCCGCCACTCGGGGGAGTCCGGGCGCTGCCGACTGCAGGTCACAGAGACAAGAACAGGAATGCGTTGCCAGACACAGTGGGCTCGTCTTGGCAGAAGTCCTCTTTTTTGGGCCCATGGCTATCAGAAGCGCTATTTATGAGTCTGAACGTTTGGGTTCTGTGAACACCTGCTGTTTTCTATATATGAGTATTTGTGCTGTTTTGCTCAATGGGTCTGTATCTGTGTTGAAGTTTTTCCCTGAATGGTATCTCCCTGTGCGTGTTTGGAAATATATTTATACCTGTGTTATTTTTGTGTGTGCCTCTGAATTTCAGTGTCTGTAAGGAGCTCTGTCTGGTAGCATAGTGGTTACGAATCCGGCTGTGAACCGCAAGGTCAGCAGTTCGAAACTACCAGCTGCTCCGCGGGAGAAAGATGAGGCTTTCTGCTCCCGTAAAGATTTATAGCCTCGGAAACCCTGTTCAGGGTCGCTATGGGTCGGAACCAACTTGACGGCACATAACAATAACAACAATTGTGGCCAAAGAACCATAGGGGGCTGCTAACTGCAAGGTCGATAGTTCAAACCCATCAACTGCTCCGAGGGATAATGATGAACCTATCAACTTTTGTCAAGATTTAAATTCTGGGAAACCACATATAGGGTTGCTATGAGTTGGAATTGACTCGAGGACAGTGGATTTGAGTATTGTGACCAGGTGTGCCTGAGTGTGTCCGTTAATTAATGTACCCATTACATTGGGGGTCTCTTGTGACCCTGCATCTATGTACCAATACCTCACAGAGTCTGTGTTTGCATGTCTTCCTATGTGTATGTTCATATACATACTCTTCATTGAGAAGAGTAGCTCTTTAGTGAGGAGAGAACTCAAACTCTACAAACCTTCTTTCTATTGATGGGAAAACTAGGCTGATTCTGAGAAGGTCCACGCCATAACTGAATGGAGACAAGTAGAGATGGGAGCATGGTTACAAAGTTTTATGTGACCTGAACCCTGGAGACACCAGAGTCCACACTCTGTACAGGGGGATGGAGAACTGGCTCAGGGGGGGCAGCATGGCCCAAAAGGGGAGAGAGCATCCCCAGGGTGATAGAAGCATCCCTAATACATTGTGCAGGCTTGAAGGTAATACATTGTACAGGCTTGAAGTTCGCCCCACATGAGGGGAGGAGGAAGCAGAGATGGTAAAGAAGGGGAGGAGCACACAGAACAATACTTTAAGATTGTTGTTGTTATTAAGTGCCGTCGAGTCGGTTCTGACCCATAGTGACCCTTTTAGGGTTGCCAAGGAGAGGCTGGTGAGCTTGTGACCTTTTGGTTCAAACTGAGGACAGTCCAGCACATTAGCTTGCAGCACCACACCAGGACTCCATTTTAAGACTAGAACCTTGGAAATATATTAACATTCTAGACCTGTGGACCTTTAGGATCTTAGAAACTCAGAGCATTTGTGTCTTAGACTACCATATTGTGATAGCTAAAGTTTTGCGTTAATTTGACTAGGCCGGGATTGTCTATGGTTTGGTACTTGAGTTATCCCCAATAATGAGTTCCAATACTTTGTAGTCAACTCTATGATGAGGCCAGCTCTGAGGTGCCAGTCAGCGGAAGGAAAGCTTCCTCAGGAGTGTGGCCTACTTCTAGTATATATTGGACGCTTAGGCAATGCTTGTTTTCTGCTAGGTCTGGATTTTGCATCTAGCTCATCCTCCAATCTTTAGTTTTTTGAACTTGAGCCAGTGGCCCACTCTATTACCCGCCAATCCTGGGATTCATCAGCAGCCTGCCTTCTTACCTGCTGGACCTGCTTGCCTACCTGTTGTGTGACCTGCTAATCTTGGGTCATGTGACCCTGACTTGGGATTCTCCCATCTTTACAACGGTGTGAGCCATCTCCTTGAATATAAACTTCTCTTTATATATATACATATGTTTCACTGGTTTTACTTCTTTAGAGAACTCAGCCTAAGACACATGTCTAGAATCATAAAATTTTAGAAATATGGCTTCTTAGACCCTTGAGAACCAAAATTCTAGAGAAACAGAATGTAGCATAGAACTTAGAGGTGTCCAACATTAGAAATGATTAGAATTTTGGTTTCTAGAATCTTATAAATTTACAACTGTGAGAGTCTTAGAAAATTAAATGCTTAGAATCCAGAATTTGGGAATAGTAGACGCTAGAGTACCTTGAAATAGAAAAGACCAGCATTAGAATCTTAGAGTTGAATAATCTAGACTCTTGAAGCATTATGATCTAGAACCTTAGACACAGAATCTAGATTCTTAGAACATCACATCTTAGAATATCAGTTCTTAGAACCTCCATGTTCAGATTCTTAGAACTTTTAAATTACTGATTCTAGAATCTTAGATCCTTGGGATCCAGAATTTCATAGCAAGAGAATTCAGGAATATAAAGCCTTAGAACCTAGAATCGATCATCATTAGAATATTTAAAAATGGAGACTATAAAATCTTGAAGCCTGTGGTTTAGAGACAGCCAGAGGATCTAGACTTTAAGAGCTATAGAATATCATTCGTAGACTATCAGACCTTAGAACTTCCATGTCTAGAATTATAAAATCTTAAGAATGATATCATCTAGAATCTTATAAGAATCCAGAATCTTAGAAAAATAAAATCTAAGCCAGAGATTTAAATCTTAGAACTAGAGTCTCAGCACTTTTGAACCTAAAATCTTGGGGCCTTATCAAGAATCTTAGAACCAGAAATTTTAGTCATAGAATCTCAGAACCTTAAAATATTAGGTTTTCAGATCTCCATGTCTAGAACTTTGGAATTAGAGACTGGAATTTCAGGTCCTTAGAATCAGAAGATTCATAGCATTTTTGAAATCTAGAACCTTTGAATCTAGATTCTTTAAACCTTAGAATCTTGGAATGTTAGACCTGGGAGGCCCCGTAGGGACTATAGTCCAACTACCTCCTTTACAGATGGGGGTGCCAAGACCCAGAGAAAAAGAAGAAGGTATCTGGGATGGAAATGAAGTGGGTGGGAAAAGGGGGTGCAGTTGGAGGGCAGACCTGGGGTGGGAAAGAAGCAGGGGGAAGGAGGTCCCCCAGTGGCAGTGCCTAGCTTGGGTCCTGAGAGGGAGTCCCAGGTCAAGGGTGGTCTCAGGCTCCATCCTCCTGCCCTGGGAGTAATGGGGAGCCCCTGTCAGCTGGCAGGGTGGGGCCAGGGGCTGTGGAAGGACAAAGAACGTAACGCCCAGCAGGATGGACCTCGACCGCTGCGAGACAGCTGCAGGAATCCTTAGGGTCGGGCTGGCTGGGGGGTTCAGCTCCTCCAGCAGCTCCAAGGGGTTCAGCATGACCTCCACCCTCATCCATGTTAACATAAAGGATTTCGTCAGGCTCCTGGGCAGGGGGCAGGGCCTTCAGTGTGTTCTCCAGGTCCTCGCGCAGTTCTGCAAAACTTGGCCGGTCCCGGGGGTTTAGCTCCCAGCAACGGGACATCAGTGCATACCTAGAGTAACACAAGGAGGGGTCGGAGGCTGAGCACGGATTTGGAAGAGGAGTATTCTAGGAGTTTGGGAGTATCTTAGGACACGCAGGAGAATGGGAGGCATTTGAGGGTGGTGGTGGAAAGAACCTCAGTTGGGGGCAGCTATGGGCATAGTGAAGTCTGGTATCGTAGTGGTTACGAATTGGTCCAGATTTATATAGCCTTGGGAACTATATAGAGACGTTCTACCCCATCCTATAGGGAGCTTAAGAGTCTGAGTCCACTCACTGGCATTGTTTTTTTGGGGGTTTATAGATCAGATTGAACCACAAGGTTGGCAGTTCAAATTCACCCACCACTCCTTGGAAACCCTATACAGGGTCGCTATGCGTCAAACTCAACTTGATGGCACTTAACAACAACAACAACAATTGAGTTTCTGAGGATGATCCTACGAGAGTGAGGAGCTGGGAAGGGGCGTGGGAAACTTCTCTGGATATGGGTGGAGTTCTTTCTATCGGGGCTTTGCTAGGCGAGAGCTTCCCAGTGTGGTTCCCCAGAAGACACTCTGGAATCAAAGCCTGGGCTTCGTCACTTGCATACTGGCTGTGGTGGTTTAAAATGTCTGCAAATTCTTTGACACCCATCCCTCCAAAAGATGGAGCCTAATTCCTCCTCCTTCCCCCCACGTGGGCAGGACTTAGTGACTCACTTTGAACCAACAGAATAAGGCAGAAGGGGTGGTGGATACATCATAAAAAGCCCTGTGGCTTCCTCTTGGACCTGCTTTTTCTGGCAGAGCCAGTGGCCATGTTGTGAGGAAACTCAAGCATTGATATGGAAAGATCCCGAGGAAGTGGGGCCTCCTGACTCAGTCATGATGCCTGAGCCAACCTCAAAATAGATCTTCCAGGCCTAGTTTCCGAAGACTGGAGCCACAGATGACATCTTGACTAAACTCTGCTCTTGATTAAACTTCATTAGGAAGCCTGAGCCAGAATCACCATTGTAAGCCATTCCCAGACTCCTGACCTTCAGAAACTGTGAATTCATAAATGTTTGTTGTTTCTAAGATGCTAAATTTTGGGGTATGGATAATAATTTAGATGCCAGCTGTGCAAACTTTAGCAAGTGACTCACTTGCCAAAACTATGGTCCTCAGTTTCATCATCTGCAAAGCAGGAAAATAATGGTCAAGAACCCAGGTTGTCGACACTGTGAGTTTGGCATTGGGCTGTTAACTGACAAGTCAGTGTTTCAAACCCATCAGTTGTTCTGTGGAAAAAAGATGAGGCTGTCTGCTCCTGGAGAGATTTATAATTCTAGAAACTCTATATAGGGTCGCTAAGGAGCTCTGGTAACGTAGTGGTTACAAGTCAGGCTGCTAACCCTAAGGTCAGCAGTTTGAAACTACCCGCCGTTCTGTGGGAGAAAGGTGAAGTTTTCTGCTCCTGTAAAAATGTACATCCTTGGAAACCCCATGCCGGGTTGCTATGAGTTAGAACTGACTCCACGGCACACCCACACCACCACCACCACCACAAAGTCTGAATCAACTCAGTGGTAGTGGGTTTGCTTTGGTTTTTTGGATCTACCTAGGTGGTGTCCAACTGCTAACTGAAAGGCTTATTGTTCATCTTCTGAAAAGGAAGTCATTGAAATCCCTATGGAGCAAAGTTCTACTCTGTTACATACGGGGTTGGCTTGAATGGGAATGGACTTAGCAGCAACTGGTTGCTGGGTTTTACCAACATCATCTAACTGCGGAGACCACAGGAATTAATATATTATCAAGAAACTAAGAATCCCTTCTGATAAGTACTATAGAACTGTTAGCTTTCTTCACACTCTCCTTGGCTTTTGGAGCACCCAAGAGGGACCTGAAGAGGCTGAAATCCACAGGCTCCTCCTGACCCAGGCAATCGATTCTCTTCACCCCAACCCACCACCCACTGCCATTAGGTCGATTCTGACTCATAGCAACCCTACATAGTGTTTCCGAGGCTGTAAATCTTTCTGGAAGCAGATAGCTTCATCTTTCTCCCAAGGAGCAGCTGGAGAGTTTGAGCTGCCGAACTTGCGGTTAGCAGTCTAGTGCTTACCCTACAGCACCACCAGGGCTCCTTTCCCCCCAAAGTGCTGGCAAAATATTATGTTTTCCTCCGTATGCTACGATGTGGCAGAGAATGGCAAAGACCCTGAGAACATTTCAGAGGCCTAAAGTGTGGAGAAGGTCAGAGAGTAAACTGAAGGGTTTGGTTTCCCCTCCCTGGGTGTTTAGTAGCATCTAGGAGAGGCTCTGGGGTCTAGGATGAATAGGAAGTCTCTGGGAGTGGGAATCTTCTGTGTATAAGTTGTACCACTGTGCACAAGGTTAGCTGGCTGAGGCGGCTGATCCAGCCTGCGTTCCACACAAGCTGGCGAAGGAGGGGGCGCCTTTTGTTAACTGGCACTCCACTGACTAACCCGGGTTCTGCTCTGAGCACAATGTGGGGCAGGTGGGTTACTCAAGGCTGAGGGATTCATGTTGGTTTTAAAAGGCCCAGGATACGTTAGGAGTTTGAAGTGAATTCTGGGATTTGGGGTGGGGGTGTGCAAAAAGTTCTCACAATCCATCCAGACAGTCCACAGGCTGCTTCAGACGGTTCCCCTGACGCAGGTAGTCGTAAATCTCGCTGTTCTCCACACCTGGGTACGGGGTTTGGCCCCGTGTGGCAATCTCCCACATCGTCACCCCAAAGGACCACTGTGATGAGGGGGCAGAGTGGAGGAAATTAGAAGGCCTTTTCTGCACAGAGACACCCCCAGCACACACTTAATGTGCACATGTGTACACAGCATCATAATGATTCATGGAAACACTTGGCCACAGGTACAAGTCTTATAGGTAAGATTTGTGCACACATGAACACCCCTCACCTTCTCATGGTTCTCACGCAGTTCCCTCCAGACCCACACAATACACCCTGGAAGGGTGAGGACTCAGGCTTGCGGGCTCACCGCTGTCCTCTCCTCACCTGCCCACACTCACACTTTCTGCAAATGAACCTGATCACAGACGCCCACCATGATCCCAGACATGCGCAGCCAATGTGGACAGACCACCAAGCAGGGGAGCCCACCTCTGCCCTGACACCCATCACCCACCACAGCGCCCGCACCCACTGAGGGTGGTTGCGCACCACCCACAGTCACGCAGGCGCGGTGCGTGCGCGATAGAAGCAGGCCACGCCTTCGCCCACGCAGCTCTGCAGGGCCAGAGGATGCCACGCACCACATCGCTCTTGCTAGTGTAGACGCGGTCAGCCAGGCTCTCGATGGCGATCCATTTGACTGGCATCTTGGCGATGCGTCCCTGGCGATAGTAGTCCCCGTTGTAGATCTTCTTGGAGAGTCCAAAGTCGGCTACGCACACGGACATGTTCTCATTTAGCCTGTCCAGATGGGGGGGTGGGGGGTGGGGAGCAGGTCAGGTGACAGCCTGACACCACCACCACCACCACCACCCGGAAGCCTGCCTTTGCTTTCAGACCCTCCTCTGCCTCCAGCCTTCCTGCCAGGAGAGTGGGGGACCTGCCTTCCCAGCCCTTGCCCCAGTCCAACGTGAGAGAAGGAAACTGCTTTACTTCTTGATCCTTCCATAAAATGAGGATGGAACCAAGGGCTTTGAAAGAGGTAGGATAGAAGAGTACAAATTTTATGGTTGCATTTATGTGATGTTGACAGTTCTGTGGCAGAGTTATCACCTTCCATGTGGAGACCTGGCTTTGATTACCAGCTAGTGTACTTCATGTGCAACCTTAGGGATGGCAGGTTGCTATGGTGATGAACAAGGAGCCCTGGTGGTGCTCTGGGCAAAGCACTGCACTGCTAACCACAATGTCAGTCGTTCAAACCCATCAGCAGCTCCAAAGGAGAAAGATGAATTTGTCTGCTACCACAAAAATTTACAGTCTCCACTGAATAGTTATCATCTTGTCTAGATGGGTCTGGTGAAAGGAGATGGGGATAAGATTCGTAAGATTCAATAGTGAATAACTGTTATCATGACTAATCGTGACTGTCACAATTGTAAAAGTAGAAGTTTTGTAACAAAAAAAAGGGGAGTGGTTAATCTTATAGTCCTGAAACAGAGGACCCTAGGACCATCAAGAGAGGAACGCACAAATAGAATGTAGGACCTTATCCAGAGAAGCAGCAGCACCAGAGATGGAGTTAGAGATGGGGGCATGGAGAGGGGGAGCCTCCGGCTGAGGACTCTAGATTCTTTAACTAAGGAGAGAAGGACTAAGAGCTGGTGGCCAGGAGCAGACTTGCAGAATGTGCCCTTTGGGGATGTAATTTATTATATATGCCTGAGTGGGTTTTTTTGTTTGTGTGTTTTTTTAAAAAAGCTAAAGTGTATAGAGAGAAATACTGTTAACTGATGGCATATGGAGGGGATTATAATCAACATAATGAAACAAGTTATATGAAGTGTTGAATGTGAAACTGATGATGTGCCCTGTAAACTTTCACTCAATCCACAATAAAAACCTTAAATTAAAAAAAAAAAAAAATCACAGTCTCAGAAATCCCAAAGAGTAGCTCTAGTTCTACTCTGTCCTATAGGATCTTTCATGGAGCGTCCAACTAGGAAGCTAGACCAACTAGGAAAAAATGGCCTGATGTCTCTGCTGGTATTGGAAATACTGGTAGCATAGCTTTCAACATCACAACAATATACAAACCACCATAATTGACAGACAAGTGGCAGTTGTATATTTCACTACAGATCAAATACACCATAATTTTTTTTTAAGTACCCAAAAGAAAGACATTACCAGGAACTCTCTCCTCTAACACTCCCTTCCAGTACACACTCCTCCAAGAGTAATCACAACCTTCACTTCTAACAGTTTGGATTACCTCTGCTTGCTTTTGTGCTTTATACAAACAGGAGATTCTCTGATTCTTGAATCTGACTTGCTGGGATTTTGTTTCTGTAAGAATTGGTGATTCATAGCTCTCTAACTTGTTAACGGACCAATCAGAAGAGAACTGGAGGCCATGAGGCATCCTTTAACTGGTTAATTGACCAATCAGAAGAGAACTGGAGGCCATGAGTCATCCTCTAACTGGTTAACATGCTCAGCTGCTGACTGAAAGGTTGGTGACTTGAGTACACCAGAGCTACCTCAGAAGAAAAGCCCAGCAATCTACTTCCGAAAATCATTCATTGAAACCCTATGGAACACAGTTCGACTTTGACACGGGATCCCCATAAAGTTGGAACTGACTCTACAGCAACTGGGTGGAGATCTGTCTCCCCAACTCTCACTCCATCCAGGGTGGAGAAAGGAAACTGCTTTACTTCTTAAACTGCCAGGTCCAGGGAAAGTCTAGAGGTTCCAGGGCAAATGTTAAGGCATCTAAACCCACAGCCACCACATCGATCATTCTGACTCATAGCAACCGTATATAGGGTTTCCAAGGCTGTAAACCATTATGGGAGCACAAAGCCTCATCTTTTTTGAAACCTTGTGGCTAGCAGTCCAGTTCTTCTCCTACACCTTCTAGATGGTAGAAATATAGCACATATGCGGTTTGTGGTAGTGGCCCATTACCAAGAGGTAAAGAAGTATTTCAATATTTTAATAGTTTAATGAAACCTCTCAGATTTCATGGGGTGGACAATGGTTTGATTGTCTACCTCATTGTTGCAGTGGAGGCTTAGCAGGAATTTCCATTTTGACTGAACTTATTTAAGCTTTTAGACCTACTTTTCCCACTTACAGGGGACAGAGGAACAAGGCAAATGCCACTCCAAGGAAACAGACACATCATGAATGTGGGATACTCTTCAAGAGAATTGGTGTGGCCTCTTCAAAAGAAAATGACATAAAAATACAAAAAGGTGATGGTGGTACTCTTTTAGATTACAAGACACCACATGTAAAGTGGGCATCCGGATTCAGGGCAAAAAAAAAAAAAAAAAGCTATAAAAGACATTTTCTGGATACATGCTACAACATTGATGAACCTTGAAAACAAAAAGGCAATAATACCATATATGGAATTTCCAGATTAGACAAATGCACAGAAACTAAAATTCACAAGTGGTTATGTGGGGTGAGTGGGAAGGTTTTGCTTAAGTGACAGAAACATACAGATTTTTTAAGAGTGATGAAAACAATTGGAAATGGATAATCGTGATAGTTACATAACATGGTGAATATAGTTGTTGTTATGTGCTGTGGAGTCGGTTCCGACTCATAGCAATCCTGCATAGGGTTTCCGAGGCTGTAAATCTTTATGGGAACAGAAAGCCTCATCTTTCTCCCATGGAACGGCTGGTAGTTTCGAACGGCTGACCATGAGATTAGCAGCCCAATTCGTAACCACTATGCTACCAGAGCTCCTAGTGTGACTTAATTATACACATAAAAATGACTAAAATATTGTGTTACATATGTTGTTAAGTGCCGTGGAGTTGGTTCCAACTCACTGAGACCCTGTATAGGGTTTCTGAGGCTTTTAAAATTTTGCAAGAGCAGAAAGACTCTTCTTTCTTCCACAGAGCAGTTGGCAGGCTTGAACTGTGGGCCTTGTGGCTCCCAGTCCAGTGCTTATCATATGGAGCTAGTGTGCACCCTTTTGTTACATATTGTTGTTAGGTGTTGTTGAGTTAGTTCTGACTCACAGTGACCCTGTATAGGGTTTCCAAGGAGCGGCTGGTGAGTTTGAAACACCAGTCTTGCAGTTCAAACCGACCTTGTGATCTAGTATATTATCACACAGTATCACGCCTGGATTCCTTTGTTACATATTGTTGTTAATTGCCATCAAGTTGATTCAGACTCAGTTCACAGTAAAACATTTTGTTGCTCTTAATTTTTTTTAACTGCCTTTGCTGTCACCCAACCCACAAAATAATTTTGAAAGTACTGTTAGGGAATAAAAAGTCTTTATGAGTGGGAGAAAAAAGGAACCTAGATGGGTTTAGCAGTCTGCTCTACAAAGATTAAAACCAAAAACCAAACCTACTGCCACTGTGTGGATTCCAACTCATAGTGAACCTAGGAGTGTAAACTATTCCCTCATGGTACGGCGCTGTAGGATCAACTCTGGACTGCGAAACAAAGAGTCGGCAGTTCAAACCCACCAGCCGCTCCTCAGAAACCCTATACAGGGTCACGATGAGTTGAAAAAGACTCAAGAGGACTTAACAACAGCGTTTCTGAAGCTGTAAATCTATACAGAACCCAACTGTCTCATTTTTCTCCCAGGGAGCAGCTGGTGGGTCTCAACCACAGACCTTTCAGTTAGCAGCCCAATGCTTAACCCACTGCACAATCAGGGCTCCTTATAGGACTGAGAGGCAATTCTACTCAGTCCTATAGGGTCTTTGTGGTGCAGAATCAACTTGGCAACAATGGATTGGGAGGGAACAGCTAGAAGAATTTGAATATGTACTAGACATGAGGCGAGGTTGTGGAAGGGCTGTGAATATTCTTAAGTGCATTAACAGAATTGTGGCTGTTTAGAAAGAAAGGTATTATTCTTTAGTGATACCTGCCCAAGCTTCAATGAGGCGGTACCACAAGCTCAACAACTTGAAGGGAGAGAGAGAGAGAGAGGTGAGCAAAAACCATGGCAAAAAGTCAACGAGGAGGAGGGTGTTCATTGTATAATTCTTTCACCTTTTCTTTAGGATTGATACTTTTCAAAATCAAACCCCCAAACCAAACCTACTGTTATCAAGTCAGTGCTGATTTATGGCGACCCGACAGGACAGAGGAGAACTGCTTCTGCAGGTTGCAAGGACAATAAATCTTTGTGAGAGCAGATAGCTTTATCCTTCTCCCCCATACTGTGGCTGGTGGGTTTGAACCACTGACCTTGCACTAGGAGTCCAATGCCTAACCCAAAGCACCTCCTAGGCTCCTTAAATCAGTGTAAAATCTACCCTGACCCTAGCCCTTTCTGAGTGCTATAAAGAAGAGCCTAAACAGAGAGCTCTGTAGGTTTGATTCCTACACATAGCAAGCCTAGAGCACAGAGCAGAATTGTTCCAGAGGGTTTTCCTAGCTGTATTATAAGGAAGCTCCCATGGAGCAAATGGTGGGTTCAAACCACCAACCTTTCACTCAGCAGTTGAGCATTTTATCTACTGCAACACCAGGGCAAAGGGGAAGCTAGATACCGTATGAAGATGATCAAGGAACCAAGAGACAGAAGCTGAAGGAAACAAATACAAGAAGGGCTTCAAAAAGTTCGTTAAAAATTTTCATGATCTTTCCATTCCAATTTTTCATGAACTTTTTAAAGTATCTGTCTCAAAATTGACAGAGCCTTTCCCTAGAGCCCTGAATCTGAACTTCTAACTTCCTAAAAGGTGAGAAACTTTCTGTTCAGTTAAAGCAGCACTAGGAAAATAATGACACCATTCCAAATACTCCAGGATTTCACTTTGGAGCCCACCTCCTCCAGGAAGCCTTCCCAGATCTCCCCTCTCCGTGTTGACAGCATTTCCCTGTCCCAGGAAGTAGAGAGACAGTTCTGACACTCACATGCAGTTCCTGGCAGCCAGGTCTCGATGTATGAATCTCTTGGTGCTCAGATACTCCATGCCGCTAGCGATGTCTGCCATGAACTTCACCAGCATCTGAGTGGGCAGGAACTGGGGGGCCAGGGAAGGGGGCATGGAGGTCAACATAGTTCCTGAGCTACAGCCTTCTTCTCTCTCTCCTTCCCCCAGGACTTCCAGAAGTCAAGTCAATTCCAATTCATGTCGACCCCATGTGTGTCACAGTAGAACTGTACTCTGTAGGATTTTTCTCAGTGGCTGATTATTTGGAAGCAGACCACCAAATCTTTCTTCCGAGGTGCACTGGGTGGGTTGGACTTGAACAGCCAACCTTTTGGTGAGCAGCCATGCACTTAAATGATGTAATTGTCTCTAGATGGCTGTCTCCTGCCTCCCTCTGTGACTTATCTCCTGTTCTTGCCTTTGGTCTTAGCAGCCAGCAGACTCCTTTCTGCTCTGCAAACAAGCCATGCTTGTTCAGACCTCAGTGCCTTTGCTCATGCTGCTCCCTCTGCTGGGACGACTTTGCACCCAGGCCCATCTACCCTCCCTGCAGCTAGCTCTGTTCTCAAGGTCATCTCTTTAGGGAGGCAGTCCTTTGTCCACCCAAACTAACTGCCTGGCCCCCTTCCTGCTTTGTTTCTATCTTAGCATTCAAATCATCTTGCTGATGGATTTGCTCATTGCCTGGGACCCACTGAAAAGTAAACTTCCCGAGAGCAAGCTCTTTGCCATAATGGGCTTCCCAGAGTCTGAGTAGATACTCAGCAAACGACATCTGGGCTGTGAAATGCCCCTCACCACTGGCTGGTCCCCGAGTCGTGAATAGAGGAGGAAACTGTGGAGGTCTCCGTGTTTCATGAATGGCAGGATGACCACAGGTGCTGGAAAGCCTTCACGTTCAGAGCCCTGGAAACAGACACCTGAGCCCCCCCAGGTAACCTTGTCACTTCAGTGACGCAGAAGGGGAAGTCAAACCCCCCTCCCAGTCAGCTACAGTTCCCACTCCCTCTCCCTCTAAATTCTGGCCTCCAAATTGGGGAGGGGGCTGTGGCAAGGACAGAGCTTCAGAGAAGCTACTTCTGGCAGCCTTTCCCAGGGATGTTCCCTATCACCTGCCCTCCAGGGGACCTCAACTATTTCTGGGAAAGGTCAGAGGTCACATTCCAGGCTGGGAGAGAGGAGAAGGAAGGGGGAGTTTGCTGAGTCTGGAGAGGGGAGGCAGGGAATCTAGAGGTTTTGGTGTTCTTAATGACAGGGGGAGGGGTATTTTCGCTGGTCTTGTCTCCATGGGCTGGATGAGCCAGGAACACAAATCAGTTCCAACTGACAGCAACTCTACAGGTCAGAACAGATCTGCCCCATAGGGTTTCCAATGCAGACTGCCTCATCTTTCTCCCATGGACCAGCTAATGGGTTTGAAATGCCAACTTTGCCCAATGCCACCAGAGCTCCTTATGGGTCCGGGAGATGCCTCTAAAATCTGCCCCTCCCTCACCGATGAGCCTCATGACGTTGGGGTGGTCAAACTCTTTCATACAGATGGCCTCACTCAGGAAATCCTCCAGCTCCGACCGAGTGCAAATGGCAACTGGGGAGAGAGGACCGGTGGTGAGAAGGGGGTGGGGGGAGAATCTGCCCTCCTCCTCTTCCTCTCCATCATCCATCATGTCACGTCATTTTCATCATCAACTTCATCAAGCAGGACTCAGCGCTCAGTTAAGTACTAGGGGCCACATGCAGTGCTTTGCATATGTAAATTTACTCCATTCTCTGAGCTTCTACTATTATTGTTGTTGTTGTTGTTAAGTGCTGTCAAGTCTGTTCTGACTCTTTGTGACCTTGTATAGGGCTTCTGTACCCTGTGTAGGGTTTCCAAGGAGCAGCTGGTGAGTTTGAACCACCTACCTTGTGGTTCAAACTGACCTTTCAGTCTACTGTATTATCTAACAGTGCCGTCCCCATTTTAAAGATGAGGAAACGAGCACAGGATAGTTAAGGAAACTGTCCAAGGGCACACAGAGCTTGGAACAGGTAGAATTCAAACCCAGGCCACCTGGCTCCAAGGTTCCTGTGTTTTGTGTTAGGTGGTTCCTCAACACATTCCCCAAACCCTGGGTGATCTGTAGGATAATTATGAACCCCTTTTACAGATCAGGACACTGTGGCTCCTACACAGGCAAAGTGACTGGGAGTCAAACCCAGGAGGAGAACATTACCTGGTAATAGTAACCAAACCCACACCCACTGCTATCAAGTTGGTTCCCACTCATAGTGACCCTATATAGGGTTTCCGAGGCTGTACATCTTCACAGGAGCAGCAAGCCTCATCTTTTTCCTGTGAAGTGGTTTGGTGATAGTGTTGTTGCTAAGTGCCGTCAAGTCGGTTCCGACTCTTAACGACCTCGTGCAGGGTTTCCGAGGAACATCTGGTAAGCTTGAACTGCTGACCTTGCGGATCACACCGACCTTGCAGTCCATCGCATTAACCCACAGCACCACACGAGGACTCTGTTAGGTGCTCAGTAATCAATGAATGAATGAATGCACACATGCACAAATGAATGATGGGTGACAACTCTGTAGCCTTTTAACTCCTATGATTCAGATGAGGTAATTCTTCCCTCACCTCTCACCCCAGCCTGACCCTATGTGGACAGGACTTGGCTTTGTGCTTCTTGTGCGGTGTGTCTCTGGTTCCTCTTTAATGATGTAGTATGACAGTTGTAGTCCACACTAACAGCCACCTCCAGCATTAAGTACTTTGCCTCACAACAGCCCTAGAAGGTTGGGACATTATGATCCCTTTTTTGGGAAGTGGAAAGGGAGGCCCAGAGAGGGAGTCACCTGCCCATGATCATACAGTGAGGTAAGTGAGGAAGCCAAATGTACCTCATTGTGGGCCTTTTCTTGCTCTGCTAGATATCAGAGGGGCCCTAGCCTTGAACATGACATTCCCTAGGCTCCCTTTTTGTACTGGGTTCTTGATGGCATTTGTCAATGGTCGGCACTGATGGGAAATTGGCAAGTGGGCAACCAGAGTATTTTATCCTTTTACTTTGCCGTGGCAGTGTCTCCTCTATGTTTCTAGCTTCCATAGGGTAACTCCTAACTGTGATCTCAAATTCTACCAGGCATCCGTGGCCCATGCGTTCTGGTAATATCACTGTCTCCCTGCCCTTTCTTTCTTCTTGTACCTTTCTGGTAAGCTTACTATTCTAAATTCCTTCTATTGAAGTACCGGGCACGGGCTGTTTCCTGTCTGGAAATACTGAGGTCCCATGGTTTTGTACCACTGAGTTGGTTCTGACACACAGTGATGCTGTATAGGGTTTCCATGGCTGTAAATCTTTATGAGAGCAGAACGTCTCATCTTTCTGGTGGATTCAAGTACCCAGTTCTTAATCTGCTGCACTACCAAGGCTCCTCGAGGTTCTATCTTGCGACTAACGTTTGCCATGAACATTTTTGCTCTCTGCCTCCTTAGGGGCATAAGGAAGAGGACTGGGGTTAGGAGGGGGAGGTCCCACATGGGTGTGCATGTGTGCACAGACTCACTCTTCATTGTCTTCACAGCCACCTTGAGAATGGAGTCATCCTGGTTGAGTTGGCCCTCCATCACAGCTCCAAACTCTCCTGAAGTGGGTAGGAGAGAGACATTGATCTTAGGGGTCTTTTGGGGACTGTATTTCCTGTGGTTGGGTGGTGGAGGGGAAGTGGAAGATCTTAAGGTTCAGTTAGATGTGTGTGTTTGGGGAAGGGATGAGTGCTGGGACAGGGTGCAGGGACTCACCTTCACCCAGAGTCTTCCCCAGGGCCACCTTATGTCGGTCCACCATCACATCCCGCAGTTTCTCCTTCAGTTCTTCACTGATGCCTAGGCTGTTCACTATGGGGAAGGTGGCAGTAGACAGAGTTCACACTCAGGCCATACTTAGAAATAGGAACCAATTCATTTAAATACTAAAATAACTCAGCATTGATTAAAAAAGTAGTTATTGCCCTTGATTATCTTGCTCCTTCTCTGGGTCCCCTAAACCTTGCCCCAAAGCAGAAAATACAGCCAGGCATAAGATCTGGCTCCAGTGTGAACCCTGATTGCTTAGCACCTGCTAGACCAGTTGTTAAAAATGTTGTTGTTGTTGTTGCTAAGTACCGTCGAGTTGGTTCCAGCCCATAGCCACCCTGTTAGGGTTTTTGAGGAGTTGCTGGTGAGCTTGAACTGCTGACCTTGCAGTTCAAATGACTTTGCAGTCTAAGCGCATTAACTCACAGCACCTTACCAGGACTCCCATTGTTAAAAGTAGTGTACTTTTTCTTGTTGTATAATATTTGCAAGTCATAACTTAAGCAACTCAGTTGATTTTTACAAATCAAACACAGCTGTACAACTAGTACCCAAGTCAGGAACAGATCAGGCATGACCTGCCCTCTGAGGGATAATCAACTTTCCTGACTTCCCTTACCATTGTCTTATCTATTTTGTTCTGTTAGACGCATGGAATCACACATAGTGTGTTCTCCTTACGTCTAGAATCTTACACTCAACATTATGTCTATGAGATTGTTGTTGAGTTAGTTGTAATTCCTCCATTTTCACTGCTGTATACAAAAAGTTCTCAACTGTGTTGGTCTTAGGAGCCCTTTGTTGTTGTTCTTGTTGGGTGCCGTCAAGTTGCTTCCAACTCATAGCGACCCCATGCACAACAGAATGAAACACTGGTAGGTTCTGCACCATCCTCACAATTGTCGTTCTGCGTGATCCCATTGCTGCTGCTAGTATACCAGTCCATCTCCTGATAGTCTTCCTCTTTTTCACTGACCCTCGACTTTACCAAGCACGATGTCCTTCTCCAGGAATTGGGTCCCTCCTGATAATATGTTTGAAGTATGAGAGATGAAGTCTTGTTATCCTGGCTTCTAATAAGCATTCTAGCTGTACTTCTTCCAACACAGATTGGTTTGTTCTTCTGGAAGTCCATGGTACTTTCGGTACTCTCCAACTGTGCCAATTCTTCTAAGGTCTTCCTTATTCACTGTGCAACTTTCACATGCAAATGAGGTGATTGAAAACACCATGACTTGGGTCAGGCATACCTTACTTAGTCCTTTACATTCTTAAAATTATTGAGGACTTGCATATGCTTGATAGATAGACAAGATCTTTACTGTATTCAAAATTAAAACGTAGACATTTTTAAATGACAGGAATAGACAAGCACACATTCCATCAACCATCAGTGATGATGATGACATCATCACATATTAGGGAGCCTCTGGAAAACAGAAAACTCCACTGAATGCTCATGGGAGAATCACAGTGAAAGGGCAAAGAACATCTTCAGATTATTATGAAAATGCTTTTGACCCCATGGACCCCTGCAAAGGTCTCAGGAACCCGAGGGAATTCAGATGACACTTGGAGAACTATTGTAGTTTATTCTGCTAGATCATTGCAACCTCCTGTCTTCTCTTCCTTCTCTTGAATAAATGCATTTCCCAGTCCCTTTCAAGTATCCCCCCTGGGGCCTCAGCCGACTTCTCCCTGTGTGCTAGAAAGAGGCCTAATTCTGTATTTTCTTTCTGGATTTCAGTTTTCACTGCTGGAAAAATGAGATTTGACTGGGTGTTCTCTGAGATTCTTCTTTAGAGTATACAGTTCTAAGATTCTATGATTTTCAAGATTCTGTTATCATCATCATCATCACATCATTTTACCATCATAATCTCAACATCATCAAACACAGCATCATCATCATCTTACCATCATAATCTCAACATCATCACCAATCACATCATCATCATCATTTTACCATCATAATCTCAACATCATTACCAAACACAGCATCATCATCATCATCTTACCATCATAATTTCAACATCATCACCAAACACA